TCAGCTTTTGTGGCATGGGGGCAATGTTCATGGCACCCCTGATTTGGTTTTCGCCTCCTTTGAACAGGCTTTGAAGGGCAGCATTGACAATATTGAGCTGGCCTGTCAAGTTGTCTGTCTGCCTCTAGTTCCCGATGGGCTAAATCCTCGGCACGCTCCTGTTGGAGGTCCTCAAATTTGCCATGAATTTCGGTTGCCTCGACGGCAGCCTAAATACCAATCTTTCTCAGAGTCGCGACTGATGTTTGCTATGTCAACTTCGGCCTGCCGCATTCTGCGGTCCAGGTCGTCCAACCTTTGCACTAGGCTGGTTTTTAGATCAGGCAATGTATCCACGATGGGCCGTAATGCGTCAACCGTCTCTTCTAGGGTCGTGATGCGATCCCCGTAATTCACCATGGTTAGAAATGGTGATGATGATGGCAATGAGTTCCCTCGTCCGATGTCGAGCGTAGGCTCTGATACCAACTGTTACACGGCGCCTTCCTGAAATTCCTTGGAAGGGCGACGTAAGGCTAAGCAACCGATGTTAGTGCGGTTGCTATGCGCCAACTGAGGTCGTCTCCGTACGCTAGACTAGATTGTTAGTGCCGTACGGGAAAACCAATGTCGTGAGCAATTTAGTAGCGAAAAATGAGCAATTGATGATGAAAGCTGATGATTGTATTGATGATGATGAAAGCTATTACAAGATGCTATGCGGTGTCGGGGGGAGGGGAGGGGAGACACCAGTACAGAGAATTGTTTGAATGCTTTGGTCCCCCTTAATAATGCTTAAAAAAAATAAATCAAAGTTACATGAGTTGACCTAAGAAAGCTGTAGAAGCACATTGAAAATGAATGAAGTAAAACTACTCTATAATTACAATGAAAAGGACTTGTCTTCTATGGAAGCAAGTCCGATAGCAGCAACTTTGTCTTGAGCATCAGGGTCAACGCGCGCATTGCTGTCGGCGCGCTCGACACTATTTGGATCTGTCAGCGGCTGGGCGCTGGTGCTTGGCATTGGGTTTGCGCGCGGGGCACTGTCTGTGCATGCGGCGCTGTTGGCAACATGATGGTTTGTGCGCGCGGCACTGATGGCATTCGCTAGCCGCTGGGCACTGGCATTGATTATCGGTGGGGCGACAGAGGCGCATGTGCACTTGTCACTTGACGCTACCGAGACCACGGGGCCGACCGTTGCGCTAGGCGTTGGAAAACTTGCCGGGACGCCACGGGGAACGTCCAAGGGGTCATGGGTCGATGATGGAAAGCAGCTCATGACAGTGCTTATGTATAAGAGAAAAGTAATAGCATAACTCTCTCACCCTATAACACAACCATGAAAAAAAGTATAGTACATATTTTCCATTGACCAACCAATTTCAGCTTTGGGAAAGATCCAACTACCTGTACAAATGCAAATGACAAGACAAATGATCTCCTGAAGCAGAGACTAAAGTACTAAGATTTTATATATATATATATAGAGTGGCACTACAAAAAAACTGGGATAATTGCGGCGGTTAGATTTACGTATAACGGCGATTCAGAACCGTCGTAATTGTCATTAATGGCGCCCTACATATCCGCCATAATCGCTTCCGCCAAAAGGTGTAATACGGCGGTTTTCTCTTAACTGCCGCAATTTACAGATACAAGCGCCGCAATATGCATATTTAAGAACGGCTGTTTACTTTGCTTATTGTGGCGATTTGTAACCGCCGTAACTGTTGTCCCTTTCAAATTAGTCAGTTTATACTGCCATAATTGTAATATTTTTAATGTTAATTTTTTAATCCTACATTTAGATCCTTTATCCTTTCTAATGCACAAAATCCATCATAATATGTTATCAACCACCCATCATAATAATTAACATAAATTATAGTAGAGAATTAGATAAGCAAAATATTCATCATATTAAAACATAAGTGCCCAAAATCCACATCATCCAAGATTCAAGTTTAAGTTGCAGAAGGTTATTCCAAAGTTACAACACAAAAAAAAACACAGTTCATCCTAACAATGATTACTAATTGTCGTTTGCTGCGTTTTCATAGTTACTTGTTAGGATTACTAATTGTCGTTTGCTCCGTTTTCATAGTTACTTCCGTCAAAGGATCTTCTTGGCCCAGTTGGTGACGGAACACCATCTCCTAGATTGGGGTGCCTGCATAAAAAAAACTAATTAGTAGTGTCAAACAGTTTTACTTTAAAACACTGTAATCACTGCTCTCATTCCAGCAGCCTTTTACTGAGCAAAATATGAATGGTAAGAATTCTGAGTTTCATTGCTTAAGTAAAATTTTATCGTGCTTCATTCTCAATCTTATCTTTCAGTTGACCTCCAGCATATATACCACCTGTGAATATGTGAACAGCAAGGTTCAATTCAACTAGTCCTTGCTCTTGGATCAATTTTTCTTGTCATGTTTTGGCTGCTGACTGCAGTTAGCTTAGGTGGTATAATTTGGGATATAGTATTTAACTTGGTTTATAATTTCTCCCTACAATTATAAAGGGCAGTTTGAACCAAATATACAATCCAGTAGCATTGAAAAACCACTAATTTCCTTATAATATAAGTATATGTAAAGAAACTAGACAGGGTTTCTTCAAAACTATGTGAACAAAAATCTCAACAATAATCCTATGTCTTTTTGCACTGGAAGTAACAGATTGATATTTTTATGAGATCGTTGTAAATTGTAATATATATTTAGCTATAGTGGAAGACCAAACTATAAATTATATATAAAGAGAAAGAGTGAAGTTCTATATGATCTTGTGTATGCAAAGTCTGACTACATATATTCTGGAATGAGAGCGATGCTAGCCACCAAGACTTATTATTTAATATAGAGAGAGTAGAAGCAAGCCTAGCGAAGTGATGGCATGAAATCGAATGTGCAAATATTGAATGTGCAAACAAAGAAAAAATAAGTACTTGTACCTGTGAAGGAGTCGGAAATAAGTGAGCATACTCCTCGGGATATTTTCTATTTTTATTTGAAATAAGCTTGTTAGCGCATTTAATTGTGATCTCATATTTGCCATCTCTTGCACCCATTGTGGAGGTGGAGCACTAGTTCTAGCTGCGCCCATATAAGAACAACCACCTCGTCTCGATGTTTGCTTGAATACTACAGTTGGAACTGCACCCATGCCTAAGCCTCGAACACGGCCAGGGTGCTCGGGACCAAAGACTACACCAAGCGCGTCATTCGGTGAAATTTCTGCCAGAGTTTCTGGTCTGTCTTCGAATTTCTTCAATTCTTTTCTACACGAGAGACAAAATATAATTACAAAAGCCTACTACAACAGATTATGTACTACAACAGAATGTACTACAGAATCATTGGCTAGTTTGACAGAAAGAGGAAAAGTTTCTCTATTTTGATTGATGTTGGTGACAAATGAAACTTGCAATTCACACATAGGTTATTAAGATTGATGATTCTTTTCATCAGATTTTCATATGAATCACCAAAACACCAAAAGTACATGAATATACATGCTTCTGTTAAACAAAAAGAATTCTGCCATTGGATTAGCACAAAAATGTGAAAGAAAAAGCAGTTAAACTGTTAGTTGCCTTTCAAGAACATTTTCCAAATCACTAATGGGGCTGTTACCAACCAAAAACACTTAAGAGGAAAAAAAAAAACAATAAGCATAATCAAAAACTTAATCAAGAATCTCCATGTATATAAAGAATTTGAAGCAGCAGAATAAGCATCACAGCTCACACCAGAGATTAACTGATCACATATTGAACCAATAGAGGAACATTGTGGCATTTTACCACTAACAGGAAAGTAAAAGAAGAAAGCAGAAAATAGTGATCGACACTTACCCCAATCTCCCTAGCTTGATCATTCACATAACTCCCATCTTTCCTCTTATGAGTCTCAGTCCACACTTTGCCGCGATCAACTTCTTTTCCCTGTTTCTTCTTAAAGTTTTAAAAAGTAAAATTTAACTAAATAACTCTTGTCACATTAAAGCGACAGTAAGTACATCGTATTAAATTACCACCAAAGCCCTTCTTCTAGCCAAACTCATAGCACCACTAGTATGGGGAAGTGTTTGTTGTCCTCGAATCCGTTGATTTCTCAAACAAAGCGCTTACGAGTCAAAGTAGGAGAATTTTTATTACATATAAAAAGCGACAAGGGGCCCAGTTGCATTAAGCAAAACGAAAAAGGAAAAAAAAGAAGCCACAACAGTGGCAGAGAAGAAGCAGCGAAACAAAAAAGGGAAAAGAAAACAGAAGCAACAGCAGCATCAGCAACCTTTGTTTCCTCTTTTGAACGATAGTTAACATACAATGCCCATTGGTCCATGGGAATGCCTTCTGGAGCATTCTTGATGATATCTTCTTTACTCAATAATGGATCTAGAGCCTCATGCCATATTTTAAGCCTTAATTCCTTCCACTTTTTGTTAAGCGAATTGTTAATCCAACCTTTTACCTTTTGCTGATCACTACTCTTGGATAACAAGAAAACTAAAGCATTTTCTGACATTAGGATAACAAGAAAACTAAAGCAAAAGAAATAGGAAAAACTACTCATGGAAAGTGGAAGATGACAAGTACTTAGTGGAATAGTCAAGGTGCTCGTAAACTGGTCCAAGAGTGATATTGGGAAGGATGTAGATTAGTGTAGCATTTTCTGATTTGGAAATGATCATTGTGATAGAAAGGTGCAAGGTGTTGTGGCCAAACGCACACGCAAGTATACGCGGTCGTCAAGTAATAAAGTGACTAAAAGTCGGATGTCGAACCCACGATGACTTGTGATTAACTATTAACTAAATTAGACTATCCTAATTATCTAAACAAGAATTAAACCTAAAAATATTTAATTCTAAACTAATTAAATAAAAAAATATAAATAATGAACTTTGAACAGAGAAAGAGCAGATTTTTATGATATCAATATAATGAAAACGATCTAGGGTTATGGGCTATCTAACAATCCTATTGTATTCTTCAATTGAATTGACCGACTAATTTATCTAGCTTATTGGTTGACAGGGTTAATATTGCTCATAAGAATCTGTCGAGTTCTTACTCGCCTATTCAAGCTAACCTAACGCCTATATGTCTATGGAGTTAGAATCAACAAGAACGCATTTATAATTCCTGTAAATCAACCAAGCAAGGCAATTAGGTATATGTCTATCCTAACCACGAATCCGTTCCCCGATGCCCGAGTTCAAGAACTTGCTCTACTCAATCCTATATGCAATCTAGAATTCCCACTTTCGAGTTCAATTCTAGATTCGTAGATAGTATTCAATTGGTGATCAAGCAATTAAATAATTAAGCGCAAGATTGAATAAATAAACCAATATGATAAATCAAGAAGGCAAAATCAATATCCGAATAACAATAGTCATGAAAGAACCACAACCCTAGAACGTGAAGTTTAGCTCCACATAGACATGGTAGCCAAACAACAAATCATACAAAGAAACATAAAAATTACTAAGTTTGGTCAGAGAAAGATGGAACTTGATGAATTCCGGCCTCCATGGTGGCTCTGTGCTTGTGTTTTCTCTCTCAAAACGTCCTTCCCCCTTTTAAAATAGGTTTAGGTTGGCTTTTATATGAGTTGGGGGCGTCTAGGGGTCGAAATAACCGAGTCCCAGTCGAAATAGGACACTTTCCCGTCTTGAGCGTCCAGGGCAGCGTGGGGCGCTGGCCCTGGCGCTCAAATTTCTTGGCTACTGTAAATTGCGCCACAGCGAGCGCCCCACGCTCGCTGTGGCCCTCAAATTTCACTTTTTGCGTTTTTGTCCCGATTTCGCTCCAATTCGCGCCCTTTCGTCCCAAATTGCATCCGAATGATCCCTACACATAGAAATACCAAAATTTAGCACAAATAATCATATTAAACATCTCAAATCGTCGAGACATGAGCAAAATATGAGGCGATATATATCAAAATATGCATACATTAAGTCAATTATCAATACCCCACACTTAAACATTGTTCGTCCTCGAGTCAACCAACAAATAACTCTATCTTTGAGCACTCTCCACCAATGACCATGGTTGATAGCAATAATTAAACTCTAGCATATGCAATCACATACACTTCCTTTTAACTTATGCCATACTTCAAAAATATTCAAACAAAGACAACATGCTCATAACAATCCTAGCCTCATAAACCGACTCAATGTCACAATGCACTCATGGCTTGAACATCCAATATCCTAGAGAAGTCTAATAATGTTACATATCCCTCTTGAAATCATGTGCCCTCACAACAAAAGCAAAGAGAGTAAAATCAATCCACACATTCGAATCTCATGCTCACATATATCAACGAAAATCGCTCACTCTCACAAAAGAAGTCACATGCATGTAATTGGTACCATAGGCTTGCCCTTAATGTAAATCTCTACTAATGTAATCTCGCTCGATCTAAAATCAATTAGGACTTTTTCATGGTTGTAATGTGGGCTAAGGGATGGGTAGGATATATTTTAGGAATAGTGACTCAACCTGCTAAGCACTTTAACACATTACCAAATAACTTAATCGCAAATTCTTCAACACCACTTCAATTTCACAAATAATATCACCCCCAACAATATTTACTCTTTCTTTAAGCACTACTTTAATTCATACCCACTGGCAAGAACAAGACAATAATTTATTCATCTATATTTATTCCAATTTTATTTTTTCAATTTTTGCTAGCGGTGTATTATTTTACAAAACAAGTGCACCTTTCTTCCTTTCATTGGTTCCACTCAAAAGCCACCCCACACTTAGTCCCTTCTTACTTCTTTTAGCGCTCATTTCATAATTAAAGTGTCTTAAGAGGTAAAAGGATAAAAAAATATCAATTAAGAACAAAAAGGGTATAGAGTTGTAATGTGGGTGCCAAATAAAAGTCTATAGGCTCAAAAGGGTTAAATAAGGATCAATTTTTATTTGTGATAAGCAATTAAGTTCAAAAAGATCAAAGAAAGCCTAAAATCATTTTTCAAACCAAGCATCACCTAAAATTTCGCTTCAACTCACATACCGAGCAAGTTCTAGACACAAGTACAAAAATATGGACTACAAAAAAATCTCACCGCACATGGCACATGACTCACCAAGGACGGCCCCATTCCGATTCTCAACAGATGTAAATATTCACAGAGCCACGAGATATTGAGGATTAAGCGCAAAGTGAACACAAGTCAAGAAAACGAGAAATAGGTGCCACAAAACATGCTATCCAATTTATAAAGGCTTCATGATCAATTTTAAAACATAGGAAAGCCACTACACATGCCAAAGCCTGAATATGCTACTATCAAACAAGTCAAGAGCCCCTAGGAATCTCATATTTCTTCCTCCATTTATTTTCTAAACTCTAATCTATTCTCAAAGAAAAAAAAATTATCCAGTTCAAACTACATCCAATGGAAAAGAACCGAGGCACAAAGAAAAACCACAGGGGATTATTGCTACAAAAAAAACATATTTTTGGATTTTTCTATTTTTAATTTTTTTTTGTTTAGACTTTAATCCCTCAAGAAAATTGTCTAGGAGATCCATCGTCGGGAAAAGTCCAAAAACAAATTTTCAATTTTTTTCTCAATTGTTTATTTTTTTATTTTTTTTATTTTTAAATTAAGCTACTAAAACTATTACTACTATACTACACCATTAATTCTACTAACTATGCTATTAAAAATAAGAAGCTAGCTAACAATAAAAAGATAAGAAATTAACAATATACTAATATAATACTATAGAAAGAATAGAGAATGTTCCACCCCATACTTAAAAGAGTGCAGTGTCCTCAATGCACAAATAAAGTAAAAATAACAACAAGGGTGGACAAGAAACTCCCTGAAAGACCAAAGGCCGATACAATAGCAGCTCACGGGGTACTCAGACTTCTCCCATGGATGATCATTTGTGCGGGTACCGCACACTAATTCCAATAATCTGGCTTGTTTTTGCACACTTCTAATGACTTTCTTCTTATGCTCATAATCCTATAAAATAAAACAACACTACAAAAATAATAAAATAAATAAAAATAAAAGAAAGCAGTAAAGTTAGGTTGCCTCCCAACAAGTGCCTAATTTAACGTCGCGGCACGACGTGAACCACTTTTTTCTCCACCTCAAACTTATGAATTGTACCCCTAACATAGCATCCAGTCTGCGGCTATGCTCCAGTGGTGGGGCTACAACGATAACCAGGCCAAGTAATACATTTTTCACTCTACACTTTTCGGCCTTTACATGAGAAATATAATTTTTGTTTTTTTGCACAATAAATTCAAGAATATAGGAATTCTCATCCTCACCCTTTGACTCCCCCATAGGCTCAGATGGCTCAATTACTATCTTACTATCTAAACACAATGTGAAAAAATGATTGGAATAAGGTCTAATGCGCCCTGACTCATGAATTGTACTACTATTTACATCCCCATATATAAACACACTCAAGTCTCCCAAAGTAATGTTATCTATTCCTTCATATGACTCTAGAGCATTCTTCTCAACATTAGCATCCTCAAGAAAAATATGGTCTAGTGATTGGTATTCTCGTTTTAGCTCCTCAATTTGGTTTAGAAGATTTTTCTCGGCTTCACATAACTCATCATTAAATTGTTGGGCGTTACACGCATCAACCTTTGCACTCAAATATGCATCTAAGTTATGCACAGCCAAGCCAAAATTATCAATTTTATGTTCAAGATCATCTCTCTCCTTAGACCAATCATTCACCAACATTGTCAGAAGATAACGTCGTTCCGCACATTCCCTTAATCGAGAATATTCATCCCAATACCAACCCTTACTCCCATATTCAAATTCAGACCTCCCAGAGTTCAGGGCATGGCAAGACCAAAAAGATGGGCCATAAAAGTCTTCCGCCAACCAAGCGTCTTCATCAATAACCTTACCTCCGGATACTTCATCC